ACTCTTTCGAGCCATTTTCAAAGCCCTAATCCGAATTGTGGCAAATTTTCGTTCAGGTTTCTCTTTCCTCTGAATCTCTGGGTTTTCCACTCTGTGCGTTCGCGTGATCCTTAAACGATTCGGACATCACACAGTGGAATCTGGTATGCTAATATTGCTGAGGACCGAATTTGGCTGATGGTAACAGACAAATACTGCCTAAGGCTGCCACGTACCTATCTGTGAACTACGCTGAGCTCTTTTCAGATTACTAGATGGCTTTCTAGATGAGAACACGATAAAATTAATTTGAGCATGAGACGTATCCATAACCAAGGAGGGAAGGGGGGAAGCACTGACCCAGCAGCTGTTTCGTTTTTGTTTTCCACTCGAGAGTTTTCCCCTCAGTTTCTATGACATTTTTTCCTTGGATTTGTTTGAACTGCTGCATATTCTGCAAAAGGTCTTAAAGCCCCTTTTCACAGTTCAGAAAAAGAAATTTCTCTTCTTTAAACATTGAGGATGGTGCCTGACCCTGGTCAGCACCCCACAGTTTCTGATGAAGAGGTACATTCTGGGAGCACAGCTTCATTGGGCCAACATGATATGACCAGTGTTCCCTCTAAGCTGAGTTAGTGTGAGCTAGCTCACAGTTTTTTAGCCTCCAGCTCACACATTTTTGTCTTAGCCCAGGAAGGATGGCTCCATAGCAAACTGATTTATTTTTATTTATTGAATAATTTTATTGATTGTTATCCCGCACTTCCGGCCTAGGCCGGCTCAGGGCAGCTTACAGCAGAATAAAAATTCTCATAATCCATAAAACACAATTCATTACATTAATACAGTTCCTGATAAAGAATGCAATAGTATAAAACAATATTAAAATCAAGCAATATTAAAGTGCTAGCAATTCCAGTTTTTACTTTAGTTCTATTGGTCTGCTTCAGTTGGTGGGGACTAGGACAGGCAGTAGTCACAGGGACCGGCGGCCCAGGGCTTCCACCATGGTTGTCAGCTGTTATTACTAGTGCTACCAGTAGTTGTAATTGTAGTGGTGGTGATGGTGGCGGCGGCTCCTAAGGCCTGGCGAAAGAGCTCCGGTTTGCAGGCCCTGCAGTAGCCAAGTTGCTCACTCACTACTTTAATGCCAGTAGCTCACAAAGTAGGATTTTTGCTCACAAGACTCCACAGCTTAGAGGGAGCATCGGATTTGACTTGGAGAAGTCATGTTCTCCTGGTCATGCTGGTGTTTTGAAAGTGATTTTTTCTTCTTCCAGGAACGGAGTTCCGGCTGGCTCCCAAGTTGGCCACGCCCAGCAGGAACTCATTAGCATAATAGGCCACACCCAACAGCAGAAACTCATTAGGATTGGCTACATTAGGGGTGTGTGGCCTAATATGCAAAGGAGTTCCTGCTACAAAAAAAGGCCCTGGGTTTTGACAACAAGCAAGGTACACAGAATAAGAAGCAAAAGGTGGGTGTGGCTGGATGACCACACTTCTGGTAACATGGGGGTGCGGCCTAATGTGGTAATGAGCTGTGCTGTCAGGGGTGTGGCCCAATATGCTAATGAGTTCCTGCTGTTGGGTGTGGCCTATTATGCTAATGAGTTCCTGCTGGGCTTTTTCTACAAAAATAGCCCTGGATTTCTGATTGTACAGGTCCTAAAAGCCCAAGGATGATTTTTTTTCCAGAGGTCGGACATGGCTGCAGGAATGGGGAGGAATGCTGCGAAATTCCACGTAGCTTCTGGGCACAGATTAGGGTTGCTCTTTAACCACTGGGATGGGGGAACACCTCTCCCCCATTGAAGAAGAAGAAGAGGAAGAGATTGGATTCATACCCCGCCCTTCACTTGGGGTCTCAGAGTGGCTTACAAACTCCTTTCCCTTCCCCTCCCCACAACAGACACCCTGTGAGGTGGGTGGGGCTGAGAGAACTCTGACACAAACTGCTCTTTTTCAAGGACAGCTCTGACAGAACTACGTCTTGCCCAAGGTCATCCAGCAACTGCAAGTGGAGGAGTGGGGAATCAAACCCGGTTCTCCCAGATTAGAGTCCGCGCACTTAATCACTACACCAAACTGGCTCTCAGTTTGCCTGTCCTAACTCCAGTGAGTGGTGGTGGGGGGGAGATGTGGGGACTGGACCAGCATCCCACAACCTCACAGGAGTTGCAGCATATTTTTTAAAGCTCTCGATGTCGATCAAGACGATACCCTTCCACCTACTTTTTCCTACCCAAGACATTCTAAAGAGAGCTTTCTAAACCCAGCAGGTATATGTCTCGCCAGATTCTGCATGCAATCCAACAGATTCTGGCTAAATGGTCTGATTGGCTTCCCAAACTCTGGAGAATTTACTTTTGTCTCCCTGAGGGGCTGTAGTGTAGTCAATTACGTTTCAGTTTCTCCCTCACCGAAACCACATGTCAAAGATTTTACAATAGATGATTTTATTATTAGTGATAATTTCCCTCCCATTTTAACTCTTCGGGTTGGCCCTCGTACTTCTCCTGCTTGTAACATCATTTCAGACTGCAGAACTGGAAGCAATGTCGCTGTGTCATGATCTGCTCTAGGTAGGTTTGGCAAGTCCCCCCAGGGGGCGGGGAACCCCCCGCCCCAGAGGCCCGTTCCCCGCCGCCACCAGATTGGGCCCCAGGGGGAACTCCACCCCAACGTGCACGTCACCAGGAAGTGACACGTCCACGCCGGGCATGCTGGGGGAGAGGCCACTGTCATCCGAGGGAAAACTCTATGGTTTTCCCTCGGATGGTCGTCGCTCCACCCCCAGCATGCCCGGCGTGGTCGCATCACTTCCTAGTGATGTGGATGCGGCGTGCGTGCTCCGGGATCAACCCGGGAGTCCCCTGCTTCAGGCCGAGATACGACTTGGCAACCCTAGCTCTAGGGTTCGCCAAAAGTCTGTGGTTTTTTATACCATAGCCTTTTCGGGAAATTGTAGCGCAATCTGTGATACAGTGATGTCTCTTCTGGTGATGCAACTGGACATGACGCCGCAACGCTTCGGGATGCCGTTCTGGTAAGTTTCTTCCCCGCCCTTTCGGTCTCCTGCGGGTTGCCGCCAGGGCAACCCCAGCACTAATGGTGGAATATTGGCCTCTGTCTGAAGTATCTAAGGGTGATCTAATGAGAGTGATTGGCTAGTAGGTTGAAAGCAAACAAATGGAAGTGCTTCGTGGGGTGCATGAATAACTTATGAGATTCATTTCTACAAGATGCTTTCAGAACCGCTACGATAGGGCGTCTTGGGGTGGGGGGAAGGTCAGCTTCATACGAATATTTCCGACAGTGGGTATTAGTCATAATAGTGAAAACTGATAGTCTATTTCAGAGGCAGAATGTCTCTGAATCCCAGATGCTCTGGACCAGGGGAGGTCGTTGGGTCATGGTAGCTGGCTGCTTGCGGTAGGGTTTCTCTAAGAAGAGAGGGCTGTCCATTGTGAGAGACGAGATTGATTTATTGGACTTCAGAACAGATGCAGCATAAAACTTGTGTGTGTGTTGGGGGGGGGTAAAATTAACAAGCTATGATGGCAGTTATTTAAACACCAAAATAAAGGAATTGCTGCAGTTAGTTCACAAGTTTACAGAATAATGACAAAAATGTGGACATTTTCATGATGTTTAAATCCCAAAATTCTTCTTTTAATCAACAGGTCAGATGATGATGAACATCTCGAGTTTCCAGAGTTCGTTTCGAGGTCTTTATCAAAATTCTGTCCGTTGTCCGTTGAAAAGGAACTAGTGGTTAACACGAGAGCTATTTGTAGCCATTCTGAATTTGAAATTCTTTATATTGGATTGTGTGAAAAATACAGCAAAACAGAATTTTGATAAAGACCTCGAAACGAACTCTGGAAACTCGAGATGTTCATCATCATCTGACCTGTTGATTAAAAGAAGAATTTTGGGATTTAAACATCATGAAAATGTCCACATTTTTGTCATTATTCTGTAAACTTGTGAACTAACTACAGCAATTCCTTTATTTTGGTGCTTTCAGATTGCTGTGCCCTTGGTTGCATTGATTAGTTATTTAAACACAACAGCTTATTCTCTGAGATTTAAAACTATTGTTAATGAGGATGTGAGCATGTTGAGCAACCTCCGGCCCATTTTTAAAAAGGGTGATATTGGGCTCTCTGTCTCCAAATTCTTCTGGGGAGATGGTATGTGTGCATTTTCTTTTCAATTTCAATGGGCGGAAAATGAAGTGAACCTCCTCCAGTCCTCTTAGGGGTATATTTAAGATTTGGACTCAGGTCTTCCATGTCTCTGGATCCCAGATGCGCTGGACAAAGGGAAATAGGTAACAGTGCTCTAGTTCAGCGGGGCATAGTCCTTACAATCAACGTTTTGTGTAGTACTAATCTCAGGATGCTGTGCAGATCTGTTGTTGTTACAATACCCCGGGAAGAAGAACTTGTAATGAACGTACTCATCTTCTGGTCCCTGTATTTACTCCTGCTAAAATGG